GTTGAGTGCAGAAAATTCTGATTTTTGTAAACATATTGTGTGTCACAATATTCATGTACAACATGATAGAGTATATCCCCTTGCATGGGAACAGATGAGTTAAAAATAGAAGTATCAATAAATCTCCCCTACTTCATGAACTTGCAATGTTATTTGTTTTTCTCATAAGGTAGAAATTTCTTCTGCATATCATCTTTTTCGCTATAATTACTACCTTTTATATATGTTCTAGTCCTGAAATCTGGAAACAAGATGGAACTGAAAAGGTGAACCGGCAGTAGTTCGGTATCCCGGTCCACTTGCTGCTGCTTATGCTGAGTCCATTGGATGTCTGGATCTAAGTAGGGTTCCCTGATGTTGCAGCCGTCGACCTCGCCTTTGAATGCTCCATCTCCAATGATTTACTGACCTGGGCGGGCGGTTTTGCCAGCATCGAGATACCACCGTGGCAGCTGGGGACATCCTTTTGCTCTTTGATGAGATCAGAGAAATGTTGGTCCCTCTTGTTTCCTAAGAACCAGCAGTTCTCTGAAAGTGTACTCCAACGTGTGATGTGGTCGAGCGAAGCTTTGTGGGAATTTCTTTCGACATGATGAAACAAGAAGCAAATGTCCTACTGATGCATTTATCTCTTTTTTTAGTAGGTAACTAATGAGGGCAAATCCAGGATCTTGTTGGAACTAATTGACTTACGCTGAGGGGGATGTCTATAAAGAAGGGCCATTAGACATAAGTTGAGGCTTCAACATTGTTCTCTGAAATTTCTCAAAGAAGCGGTAGCGTTCAAAATTGTTTAATTTGAACCATCATTTTTCTTCAGCCAAGATTTTTTTGTAACTCTAAATAGCACTCGAGGCCACAATTTTTTTCCGACTAGAGCACTTTAGTAAGACGGGAGTAGGGGACGGCACTTTTAAACTACTCATCCCTCGTGGATCATCCGTCGTCGCCGCAACTTCTCTTCGTTTCTGGGTATGTACTAGAAGCCGATATGCTGAACGGACCGTAAAGACCCCAGTGTGCTCGTAATGCCATGAGCAGAAATCCTCTTGGCGCCGCGTTCACAGTGGAATCTTCTTTATACTATGCCTTAAATATCCATTGGTGTGAAGCAATTTTCTAGCTTAACAAAGTCCCACTCAGGGTATCTCCAACGTGGATCACCAAATCGCCTGCCCGACCTTTCATTATTTTGCCATCAAACGGGGTCATCAAAATTCTCGGGACCAGGCCAGGTGTTCGGATTTCCGTGAATTGGAACCAAACTGGGGAGGTTTGGGGAAGTCCTGACATCCACCATATTGGGCTCCGACACCATCGGCCTATCCAAATACCCCATCCGGAGCCCTTTTGTCCCCACTTCGTCCCTCCCCCATGCTCTGTATTTGCACCCTCGGAGACCGCCACCGCCATTGCACCACTTCGCCTGCCGCCTTGGCCTTGCCAAACCTCTGCCACTCTAGCCAGACGCCTGCACACCTATGCCTACGCTGCCATTCCACCTCGGATCCCATCAGCGCCTAGGTACCATCTTCCCATGACCGCCACCGCCATTGCACCACTTTGCCCGCCGCCTTGGCCTTGCCAAACCTCTGCCACTCTAGCCAGACGCCTGCACACCTAGGCCTACGCTGCCATTCCACCTCGGATTCCATCAGCGCCTAGGTACCATATTCCCATGTTGACGCCATCCATGGTGGATGCCATACCCAACAAGTATTCGATGCCATAGCAGAATATTTTGGCGTTGTCATTGTTGTCGTTGAAGGAAATATGATGAATGCGTAGTTGGTGAAGGAGGATGGATTGTTGTGTGTGAGGCTGGTTGGCCACAAGTGCGGAGTTTCAAGGCATGAGGGGAAATGCTGCATTTTGAAAAAGTGTGCATGTTTGGTTTAATAAGCAAAAGCAATACGCACCCTACAACATGGAAGTGATCTGTGATCGCGATGCAAAGTCGCTACTCCATAGATGTTACACCATTCAAAAGACCATCAACAAGTATTGCAGTGTGCATGCACAAGTGCAAAGACGGTCGATAATGAATGTGTCACTCGTAGAGCTTTGCAAGTTTTGCTTCTTGTTACTCTACGGGTTGGTCCTGTAATTATTTTCCTCAACGTTGTAATTTGTTGATCACATCATTGTCTAGTCCAGACGGGCATGCACGTTGTACCAAACAACCGAGAGCAAGCCTTTATATTGATGCATTGTTGGATGACGCTCAATGGGCATAGCAACTGGATTGATATGTGCCTATGAAGAAGTCCGAGCTCAAGGAGAGGAAGCTTGAGATGAAGGCCACTTTTGAGGAGTGAGGTATTTGGCACTGGTTCTTGTGGTTTTGAGATCGATGAATTTTAAAAACTGGTGGAACATCCAATTCTTTCGGATTTAAATTGTATGATTGAATTGCTATTAATTTAGAGACATTTGTTAAAGTAAGGTTGTATCAAGGCGGACATTTGGTTTAATTTTATTTCATTTTTCGAGGAAAAGCGGGAACATTTGGTAACTACACTTGGATGGCCTCCCCCTATCTCTATTTGTGGACACGTCCAAACGTGTCATTTGGTGATGCCCATTCTGGTGAACTGCATTGGAGTTGCCCTCAACTCTTGTGTTATTGATGAAGTCACACATGTACCGATACCTCGTGTATTCCCCGACCACAACCACAGGTTCTTGGCCCTTCCGTTTGGTGGGATCTAGACTGGGCTCACAGAGCAACACTAGTTTTCCTTTTGCACAGTGTCCTTGTGCGCTCCCAGTATGAACTTCTCAGTCAGTCATCCATTCTCAAATTGATCCGAGTCAAGCACGCTTACTGCAAGATATATGTTAGACTCGCCTCTAGCACCTAGAATTTGGTCGCCGCCGTACGGTGGACGAGAACAACAATTGTTTCAGTACGAGACAACTATAACGGTTTACAAGCGATTTCTTCTCCAATCCGGGTTTAAGGCGATTTTCATGGTGGGTGGTTCTCTAGGTTCATGTTTTCTTTTTCTTTTCATTCGTTATCATCGGTTTTTTGTTTTTTTCCTGTTTGTTTTTAATTTTCCTACATTCTTTCAATACATGTGAACTTCTTTCAAAATA